TTGGCCTGCTGAATGCAAAGTGTTCTTTCCCAAGAGAGTGGCTGTTAAGTTGCTGTCTCTGAAATTTGATCTCCCAACTGCCTGCTCCCATCAGGGGAGCAGGGGGAAGAAACAATTGCTTCAGAACCCTTTTGGAAAACTGGTCAGTGAAACAGGAAGTAAATTGCCTTCTACATTCTGATACTGCAGTTTTGTTAATCTTTTTGGTTGTTTCTGAGACCTGATTGAAAGTAACCCATGAGACCCTCACTACTGACTTCACTGAATTTGTGTCAGATGGCTGTAGGTATATTCAGAACTTCACAAAGACAGAGCATGTGTTTCGTGCTGGTATCAGTCTAATAAAAATGCAAGCAACAGGATAAGTTTAAACTAGGGACAACCACCTTGATCATCGAAATGTGCATTTATGTGTATGACATGTACCTCTGCAGATTTGGCAGTAGTTTTTGAAGATTTACTTGTTTGCTTTTTTAGGCAGAAACGAAAAGAAAAACGCCAGAAGAGAAAACAAGAACGTCAGTCAAAATTGGACTCCAATAACGAAGGGAATGACAGAAAGCGCGTGCGAAGAGATGTTGTTCCTAGTACACTTCGCCTCATTGTGGACTGCAGCTTTGATGACCTGATGGTGCTAAAGGTAAAAGAAACCCATCACATACAAGTGTTGAAATATCCTCCAGTGACAGTGTTGAAGCAATTGTGTCAGAGCACAAAAACTGGAGAGCAGCTTGCAGAGGACGGTTAGCATGTTTCAGATTGTGATGACTCCCAGACCTGCTTATGTCAGTTGCTGAATTTTTTAGGCTTTGAAATGTACCTTTGTGTAAGCTGTGCTAATCTGCAGTGTCCTGTAAGAGTGCAGCCTTTGTTTTCTAAGGTGGATCTTTCCCCTCCCTGTTAGCCCGAGCCCTTCCACTGCTCCCAGGGGCTTCACTGCCCTGCAACACTGCTTGAATTCAAGCTTTTGCAAAGCCCATCTGGCTACTTGTTGAGTGTCATGCAGAGCATGTATAGTACTAACGGAGGCTAGTGCCGCTCAACAGAAAACTTTGGGGAAGCTTCACTTGGCATTTTGGAACTTGGTTCCTGAGGAGCTCTTCAGCAACGCCCCAGAGGAGACCAGAAGTCCCTCTTGACAGTTGCAGAGAGGCTGACTGGGCATTTCCTACTGATCTTCATCCTTTGTAACACATGTTTTGTCAGGCAGAGCCCCTCTTAGGCCTGATAGAAAAAACTAGCACTTCTGCAGATGTTCAGGAAGGGTGAAGTGTTGTAAGTGAAGATGGTTGTTGCCTTTAGCAATGGTGTTAATTACTGCTTTCTCTAGTATCTATCACTACAATACTGCAAGTGTAGAAACTTGCAATATTATAGTGATGAAGTCTAGTTTATTTGAAACCCTTTGGAGATATCAAAACATTCTTAAAGCACTACATGAATCAAAGCAATATAATGATGTTTCATTAAAAGTTAGAATCTGTTATATTTACAAAACACTGCATGCGTACTTTACAAAACCTATAATTGGCTAAAAATTGTCTGCTGCATTTTAAATAGTAATAGTTAACTGTTGTCTGACTCATCAGGTTAAAATGCCAGAGCTAGCCACTAAATTATCTGCATTGTTCTGGGGTTCTTCAGGCTAATTATGCAGATTTAATTTTCTTAAATATAAACTGTATTATCTTTATATTATTGGTGAAAGACTGAGTGTTATCACAGTGATAAATCTGCTTGATTCCTCAGATTAATTTTGAGTATGTTATTACATATAATTACATCCCGGTGATGTTTGTTTGTTTTGTTTGTAAATCGAGCACATGCATAGAGGTGTCTTAAGTACACTTTGTGGAAAATGTGTGTGGTTTCTTGTCAGCATAATCCCTTCACAGTAGCTGTTTTTTCTCTCAGGTTCTGATGTCCACACACTCTCAGAAGTCTCTTTTGCCAGTTAAAAGCTTCCTTTTTCTCTCTTTAGCTTCTGACTGGCTCACGGTAAAGCATTTTGTGATGGTTTGTCTTAAGGACTATGTAAACCAAATTGTGTTGTATACAGGATGTTAAGAAGCTTCACAAGCAAATTCAGAGATGTTATGCAGAAAACCGCAAAGCATTTCATCCTGTGCAGGTACGTTTAAACCAAACTGAGCTATTGCCATGTACAAAGCACATGAGAAAGGCAGCTGTGGACCAAGTGGTGAGATCTGTAGTAGAAAAAATATATTTAAGCTGCCTCTTTTTAATAAGAAAATTACTTCTATTGTAGTAGATTAGTTTTCAAACCATTTTATAAAAATACCTGTATATATAAACAAGTATGTGCATGCAGATGAAGAATGCCAGATAATGGCATGCCATTAAGAATCTTTTCATTCTCAGTTTTATCTGTGATGGATTAAAACAAAAAAAAGTTGCTGTAAGTGTATATTTTTCTTTTAAACTGTATTCATATCATCTTAGTACCATTTTCAGCTAAAATAATGAAAAGTTGTAGCTAATAGTTAAGGGTAGAAAAAGTCTTGTAAAGAGAGGAAACAGACTGGCATATTAACATTTCAGTATTTTGTACCTCCTGTTTGTTCTTGTCAAAGTTTTACTTGACCAGCCATGGGGGACAGTTGAAGAGCAACATGAATGAAAACGACAAAGGATGGGTGAACTGGAAGGTGAATAATTGACTATCTCTGGAGAAAGACAAAAAGAAGCCTTGATTATAGTTGCTAACTAGGTTGATAGACTAAGCAAGACTACTTGATTTAGCCAGGTCCGTGTTGTTTGTCTTGACAGCCCTCTTTTTTACTTGGCAAAAAATAAGGCTTTGAAGCCTCAAGAAGTGGTAGATGGCCAAAGAAGTGTTAAATACTCCATCCTTGGCAGTGTTAAAGGCTAGGTTGGACAGAGCCTTGGGCAAAATGGTATGTAGTGTGATTTGGCCCTGCCTGTGTCAGGAAGGGTGGAACTAGCTGATCTTGAGGTCCTTTCCAACCCAAACCATTCTATGATTCTGTGATTCTATGATGTGATTCTGTTGTATGCATCTTCACTTCCATTATGTTGCCTCTCAACATTGAAGTGTTCTTTAGAGTAGTAGCTTGTCTTATGGTCAAACTCACGTTGGTTTTCCTTGCCACTCCCTGTTAAACCAGTAACCAGTATTTCAACGACTTCAAATGAAGAGGACTTTGTATAAATAAAAACAGTTCTACTTTTAGTATGTCTTACATGATAGCTGCTTTGCAAAAGCATAACATAAACAGCTCTTATCAAACAAGTAATGTTAATTAAGCATTTATTTCTGGTTTCACCTTTTTTAGAAAGGTGGATTTGAACATTATTTGGCCCTAGGAGAAATATGGTAACATTTGAAGGGAGTCACAAGAACTTAAAGATTTGTGAAGCTCTTTTGGGGTTTCAGAAAATTTCCTGAAGATTTTTACAAGTCAGTGCTGTAGGGACTATGGATTATTTATGCAGAAATCAGTCTGCACTGTGCTATATACTCAAACATGAATGATGAATGTGGAATGACTGCATACTTTTGGATTTATTTTTGTTGGTTCCATCCTGGGTCTGTAAAGCTTGCCCAGGAATTCATCACTTGAATGTAACTTCTTTTTAACTACCTTTTTTTGAGGATATTCAAATTAGAACAGAGCACTATACTGAGCTAATAAAGAAAGAAGACCTAGTATATCTTACCTCAGACTCCCCAGATGTTCTCAGTGAGCTTGATGAGAAGAAAGCCTATGTGATTGGAGGACTGGTGGATCATAATCACCACAAGGTAAACTGTGGGTCTGTTTCTTTACAGCTGTCTTTTTTGGGGAAGGTGAGGGGGTGGGGTGTTTGGGGGGGTTGTTTGCTCTTTATTTGGCATTAACATTGTTCATGTGTAAACTAACAAAAATCAATAACAAGAAAGCTTCTTCAAAAAGGACTTGAAAAGAAATCTTGAAGAAATGGGGGAAAAAACCATGTAGTGGTAACAGCAGCTTCTGTTCAGACTGCAGACATGCAGTGCTTTGTAGGATTTTATCTTTTCATTTTAAATATAGGAATGGAATTAATAACACTGCTCAGCTTGCTGAGGGCCATATTTTCAGACAGAAGGGCTTGGTTTCTGTTCATGCACTTGCGTGTGTGCGTGCACTTGCATGTGCATGTGCCCAAATATAGTTGAAGAGCAGCACTTGGATCTTGGGTGTCCTTTTTGAATTAGTTTGCTTGTCAGGAGGACTTGTAACATACATGCCTTAGGGATCTGATTCCATACCTGTACATAGGGTCGTGGTGCGTGGACCTGGAATGTCATTGACAACACAGCTGGGAAGTTAAAGCACTGTTACTGCTTTTCTTCAAAGACACTCCTGTGTAATTTCTGGTGACATATTTAATATTTCAATGTGATGCTAAAAAAAGGGATGGATCTTAAACTGTACCAAATGATACTTCAGCAGTTAATCCACAGTTAAAGGCTAGGAGCAAGCTGAAGCAGATCCTTTATGTAGTCATTATGGTATAAAGTGTTCACACAGTTTTTAAGGGGCTTTTTTGCCCATTGTGGACACAGGAGTCGCCAGGTTTAAAAAAGCAAATAAAATTTCCTTATCCTTTACTCTTCCTCTGAAAAAATACCTGGTTACTGCAATACTTAAGCATAAAATTACCTTTAAATCAGGCTATAGTTGATGCATTCTAGAGCTGCAGCTGCTTGAACAGGTTTTATTTACAGTCTTTGTGGCCACACATCACAGTGTGACATATGTTCAAAGCAGTAAGCTTTCCAGAGGTAACCCTTGAAGCAAGTACCGTGTAACCAGGTTAAGTTACTTCTCATAAATACCTTCTAAAGCAAGATCATAGCAGCACTGCCATAGTGATACTTGCAGTAATCTGTATGGCTGATCTGAAATGGTGATTCTCAGTCCAGTTCTTCTGGTGTCTTTCTCACAGGGAATTACTTACAAAAAAGCTGTAGAGCAGGGAATTGGTCATGCACAGCTCCCACTTGGAAACTTTGTCAAGATGAACAGTCGGAAAGTGTTAGCTGTCAATCATGGTAAGTTTTAAATCACAATATAATGACGTTATTATAGAATATAACTGGGGTATTCAGAATTTGAACCCTCAAAATGTACACTGTCATGCAGACACTTAAATCTTATTTTATTATGTTGCTGTTTCTTGAATATAGTTACCTTTGGGATACAGTAAGTGTCCTGACCTTTAAATATTTTAGATATTGTTAATGTGAAGAATGGTGTCTCAGCCACTTGAAAGCATGCCTCCTATTCTGTTGACTTGCGCATGAATAATTTTGGCATTCTTACCATCCTGGTCTTGTTTCCAGCCTTAATGTGTAAAATGTTGGAAACTATTCCATGTATTTTATCCCAGGAGAGGATAAATGTGATGTTTTCACCTCTTTGGACAGCTTTGTTCAGCAGTAGCTGCTTAACTACCTGTAGACTTACCTCATTTGGTCTCAGCAATCCTCCCATCTGCTGAGCTTTCATAACTGTATTTTTACCTGGTTTCCTGGTTCTGATTTAAAACCAGGTTTTAAACTGATTTAAAGTCATACAATTGCTTAACCAAGTCTTGAATCCCGCTCCTTTTAAACTTCCAGATTTATTATTAGATTAGCTTTCAGTGTCATTAAATAAAAATACATTCAAAATGGAGCCTAGTCAGACCTTTATGGAGATTTTTGACATGGTGTCCAAGTCTTTATTTTGCCTCACTTCAGGTTTTATTCTCTTACCTTGCTTTATTTCAAGTTTATTATGTAAAACGTTGCTTGATGATAACTTAATTTTCTTCAAATGGCATTGATTGATGAGGTATGTGTTTGCATGATAGTAAAGATTATTTAAATATGAAGGAGAATATAGTGCATCATTGGAATTAAGAATTGTCAAACCCCATATATTTGTAAGAATTTACATGTTTCTGAAACTTCATCTTTAAATGTTGCTTTATATAGAGCAGAATAGGATTTTAAGTGTTACTCATCAGGAGTTAGGATAGCTGTAGCTTTCTACTGGAGTTTTTCTGCAATAATCTTATACTGACCTCTAGTGTCAACATTTCTGGAGGCTGTCTTGCAGATGTTTGAGCACTGGGTGTAAACTTGAGTTACTTACACTGAGGCTTTCATTTATCTGCTTCATGGTCTTTTGCATGCTTTTTGTGCCAGACATTTAGGCACCTGATTTCACTGCAATGTAGTGGGCAAGGTTTCATTTTGAGTGAGCTTGGCTTCCCTTGTCCTTCTAAAACATTTTCAAATTGCAGATGAAAGGCTTTTAATGCACAGACCCTTTTTAAGGTAAAGATTATACTATAGTTATAAATATTATAGTATTTTGCTCAAGGTTTTGGGGCAGGAAAATGAACACAACTCTACCACCACCAAAAGTAGAGGTACCTTTTACTGCCATGATTAAGGCTCTGGTTTATATCTTTAGTCCTAATAGCTTACAACCTAAATCCAAAAGAACAGCTTTCAAGGGAGTGAGGCATGAGTAAAATGGACAAATTCAAGCTGCCTCTCAAGTCTTATGTTACAAACGTTGTCTAGGTGAGAAGGATATTTGCTCTGAGGTTTTTGCATTTTGCTCTTTGTGTAACTGTGTAATTGCCCTTTCTCTTTTGATTTGGTTTTTTGGCCTCTGGGTTCCCACCTTCAGTGCAGAAGTTGAAGCTAGAAGAGTACAGTGCAGGGCTCGCCAGATGAGACTGTGGAACCTGCCTGGTCTCTATGGAACTGCTTTTGATAGGTGTGAATTTGGAAGGTCCCATGGAAGAAGAAACTCCTGAGCTGACGTGGCTTTGGAGCACTTTAATTAAATGGACCCTCTAGTGGTGGGAGATTGACAGAGTCATTAACAGAGCGATTCACTTGTTGCTTTTTCTTACTGATTTATAATCCTTCTCTCTTGGGATTAAGTCTCCAGGTATTCCCACACACAATTCAGTGCCTGCATTGCCATGTTAAAATGGGATGAGGAACACGTGTGTGTGTGAAATAATTGATGCTAAAAAAATTCACACTCTGTAAGATGAGACTTTTTTTTTCTTTTTTTTAACTTGATCTTGAATTCTAAAACATGTAAGGTTGAAATCTGCGTAAAACACTGTATTGTGAAACACAACTGCAAGTGTAGCTGAGAGAGCTTTTCTTCTGTTCAAGTTTGTATCCCAAAGCGAATACTTTGTAATATGTGTTACCATATTGCTTCATTCCCCTCTACTATGATGTCCACCAGCTATTCCTACTACCTTTTTCTGCCCTTGCAAAAGACTTCTGTTGCTGTTGCAGCCGCTCGTAGAAGCCTCTGTTCTCCTGTGGAAGTCACCCTCTTTCCATCAGTTCTTGTTTTACTGTGCAGATAAAGGAAGTTCTAGAGAAGGAACATGCTTCTTATACTCCACTAGTCTCTTAAGCCAGCGTTTTTGCTACAGCTGCTTTCTGTGTGAGGGGATATGAATATAGTCTTTTGAGAGCTCATACCTTCACAGAATGTTTCAGGTGAATAACCTGCTTAGTAAAATGGCCAATTCTTCAATCTCCATGTCACAGAGAGCAGCTGGCTGTCCAGTGAACCTGGTTTCATGAAACCTCTAGTAAATAAGCCACTTTTCTGTAACTGGACTCTCATGAGTACGAGATCCATGCTGCTTCTCCCTTTCTGCACACCTGCCTAACCTCTGTAATGTTTTTCTCCCTTCTCAGCTCCTTTGATCCTTTCTCCTATGCTGTCACTTAGCATCAAGAATGCTTGTGCTGGATGTATTCTTTGAAGTCAGCATTCTCCAGTGTTGTTTAGCATTATTCCTGCAGCCCCAAGCTTGAAGAGCCACCCCTCTGTTGCAGATTTGTCGTCCAAGTCTGTCTGGCTTACCAGCTGTACAGAGGGCCTCCTCCTGCCTTCCCTGCTGCTGCTGAGCCACAGGGTTTGAACACTCTCAATCTGTGTTGAGAGGTTTTTTTTGGGGGGGTAGGCTAAGATTTTTCTAAGTAAGAATTTGCCAATGAATTTTGTATATTATGCAGTTTGGATCTGTTGTCAGTCAGGGAGAGTTTTGGCAGCTGAAACAGAAGGAGGGTGGACTGTATGGTTAGCATAATAGAAAACAGCAATAAAGGGTCACAGAATAGGAGACCAGTAAGGATTTTTGCCATAAGATCAGACATAAATGAAAGATAAAGCTAATTATAGCAGGTTTTAGGAAGACTTTGGGCTGTCCGTATGTTAGCGAGGGGGCAAAGTCATTGCTAAAGTACATCAACAGCAGTATTCCTGTCAAGCATCAGAAAGCATTAGTGCCTGTATAGACGGCACTGGTAAGACCTGAAGTACTGAGGGTAGCAGGAGAAGCACTTTTCTCTGTCCCTGAGAGAAATTAATTCAAACTGGGACTGCTGCAAAGAAGTACTGCTGTAGTAACTGTCTCACAACTGGAGACTCAAAGCGTGCTTGGCTTTAGACTGCAGCAGTAGCAGAATTGTTTTGTCTGTTTCTGCCTGTACATCATCAGCTTTACTCTGAAGATGTCACAACCAAGTGCACATAAACTTCTGTAAAGATTCGAGGGTGGATTTGATGGTGTGTTCCTGTGGCAGTTCACTTATCTCCCTGTAAGAGCTGATGGTCTTTCTTGACGTTGCAGTGTTTGAGATCATCCTTGCATACCTGGAGAAGAGAGACTGGAAGGAAGCCTTTTTCAGTATCTTGCCACAGCGGAAAGGGGCTGTTCCTTTGGGAGAAGCCAATGATTCATCCAAACATGCTCCATCTGGAAAAGAAGATGAAGACAATGACTTGGAGAGCAGCTAGGCTTTAGAATGACATGGTGGGAAATATGAGACACACAGTTCATGGGATAGAACTGGGATGTGAAGTAGTTACACTCTGAAGACTGTCTGCTGCCCTCGTGAATTGTCTCAATGCTCTGTAGTTCCATAGTTGACCCAGAGCTGTTTCAGGACATGAAGGGTAAAGATAAACTTCAATATGAATAGCTTTTTTTTTTTTTTTTTTTTTTAAAAATTAATGTCAAATGCAGAATTTATTTTGTTTCCCAAGGAAGCTATTTAAATTTTTTTGGTTGGTTGGTGATATGCATACTAATGGGTGTATTCCCAAGAGCATTAGTAGTTACTATTTTAATGTATTCATTCTTCTCCATTTCTGCTCTAAGTTTTCTTCAAAGCAGGGAATGGCAAGCATTCCTGTGATCCCAAAACCTTCACCGCTAGTGCCTGTGACAAAGTGTGCATGAGCACTCAAATAAAGAAACATTTGAGTTTTCCTGAGCATCTCAACAGACAAGCAACTGAACTGCCTTTGTCAGCTGAGCCACACTCATTCATATACCAGCTGTCAGTGGGGTGAGCAGATGAAATACAAGCGTGGGGTTAAGCCAGTGCTTTATACTTTAGCTTGAGTGGGATGAATGTCTGCATAAGTGCAAATCATGCACCTTGGCTGGCATGTGGTGCCCATTGAGTTGAGGTAACACAATAACTTTTGATTACTTCTTGATTCCTCTCAGCAAAATGTATCACACAGCCTCAGAACAGTACCAGGAGATGTGAACTCTTTCTTACAACTGACTCAGTTTCAGTATACCTGTTTTATCATGTCATCCTGTATGTATTGTATTGTCTGTCAACTATTTTTCCTTTTAAAAAAAGCAACAAAGGCATAGTCTCACTTTTGGATGAATGTTCTAACTTATTTCTAACTGATTTAAGTGCTTTTGCAAAATACTGAAATGGACACCTTGAAAGCGTGGCTTCACTTTGCCCCTGTGAACCTGCCCCATCCCTTTGTGCTCTAGGGACTAGCCAGGTAGCTGCAGGTTCTGAACAAGTACAGCTTTCACATAGGACTGCTGAAGAGTGTAAGAACACATCATTGTTCATCTCTGCTGTGCTGGAATCAGAGGGCTCATCCAAGTATTACTTGGTTTGTATCCATATTTATTCCTCCCTCTATGGTTACTGTTTTCAAATGGAGACCAGAAAGTGGAATGCCTACAGGTCCCTGTGATCTGTAAGGGGTTGGCAAACAACTGGTTATGACTTTATCCACTTAGTGCACTTCTCTCTATACTTTTTAAATAGCTGTAGAAAAGTTTCCTCTGTTGAAAGTATAGGTTGTGGCTTGTTACTCAAGTCATGGGGGGGTTTTGTTAGGCATTACAAAAATGTGATTGCTTTTGGTCCAGGAACTAGATCAGCTTTTTCTTAAAAGCATTGCTGTTTTTATTTCTGTAACAAAAAGTGCAGCATAAGTATACCCACCATCTATTACATTAATTACATTCAGTCTCTCTAAGGTCAGTGGCAGCTGGGGTCAAGGAAGGTGACATTTGCACAAGTTAAGCTTAGGACTGGGTAACATTTCTGTTGGGGAATGGCAAAGTTCATGCTGGAACAATAGGTTACTATGTATCCAAGACACTTTACAACATAAGTGGCTTTGATTCTGATCCTGAGATTCTCACACTGAACATAACCTTGCTCTATCTTTGCTACTAGGATGAGAGAAGTGCTTCTTGAGGGAGCTTTGATTTCAGACAGCTAGCAAATTCAGTAATAGATGCTTTGGGAATGGAAATGACTGAGTAGATGAAATTGATTGTAGTTATTGTTGCAAACTATCACCATTTTGGCTCAAATGTTTTCTCAGTAACCTGTCAGCTTCATGGGGGAACCGTGCTGTTGAAAGACTATGTTAATGTGGTTGCTTTCATTTTGATTCTGTTCAGTAGTGAGCCTCAGACGTTAAGTTTGTCAGGCTGAGCTAACACAGGCTGATGCTGAGAGACAGCTGATAAGAAACACTCAGGACAGAGATTTCTATGGAATTGAGGCAACCTGAGTATGGCCAAAAAGTGTTTGGTTGCAGCATGGTTTGGTTGAATTGCTTGAGGACTAAATACATTGAGCATAAAATGATTTTAACAGGGAGTCTGAAGAGGTACCTTTATTATCTGCATGGTAAGATTACCTATTGTTATATGTGAAGGTGAGTGGGAGATGCTTCGGTGGCTCTGAAGGGGGTGGGGGTCCATGGAAAAGGGAATATCTATTGTTTGGGGGTGGCTGTGGCACTGGTAAGAGTGGGAAGGTGGGATGGTCTGTTGTTTCCATTGTGCACTCTCAGTTGTGTTTCTTCTTTGGGAGCAGTGTGTCTGCTTGCGCTGGTTCTCTGTTTCTCAGTGCTGAGAGGAGACATTCTTTCTTCCTTTCTGGAAAACATTTTGAAAAAGCAAGCTGTCTGTTACCAGGCTAGGCGTAGGATTATGTTAGACTGGTTTGGCTTTGTTCCATATGCATCTAAGAATATAGACACATATCCACCCTGTAGCAAAGAAGCCTCCCTGGACACCACTTTGAAAAGCAGAGACTCTTGCTTTTGGAAGTTTCTGCTTCCTTCTCCTGTGAGATTATTCTTCACCCACTCCTCCAGCAGAGTTACAAACAACAGTAAATGCTTGTAGCATTAGAGCTAGCAGGAACGGCTTTGTTAAAATGATAACATGCTCTAGGACTGACTTGTGTTGCCTCTGTGTGCTTCAGAAGGGACACAGAAAGCTGCTAATGGTGTTTTTTGGGAGTGCCAGTATTGTTGGCTTGCCCTGGCCGGATAGAGGATGCCAAAGTAGGCTTTGGTAGCTGAAAAAGTGTGAGAGAGCCTGCTTTATCCTGCAAAGAGAGAGGGAGGGAGGGATGTTAGATGAGGGTGAATCCCAAAGTTCATTGGCAGCATGCTTTTCCACATGTGACTTACAGGAACAGACTTTAATGATGAGATTAAATCAGTGCTTCTTGCTGATGTGTTCGTTGTAGCAAGAGGCAGATGCAGTTGCACATGTGCCCCTCACCTTGCTGTATATCTGAGTTGCAGCCATTAGAAGGAGATTTACATGAATCAAGAGAAACCAATGGATTTGCCACAAGAATAGAGGGTCTTGGCTATCAGCTCTTACAGAACTTAAATACAGGTTTTAAATATAATTTATCATACTGTCACCTGAATTCTATGATTGTAATTTGGATCCTGCTGCGAAGACACGTTAGAGCTTCTGAAGCTCTGATTCCCTCTGTGCTGTTTGGGGAACAGCATCCTAGACACATGATATCGTAATATTTATTGTTTCCATTACTTATCCTGTTTCATGTTTAGACTTGCCACTGATTCTTTAGCTGAAGACCTGAGTGAAAACGAAAGAATGTCTAACTTTACAACTGGCATAAACTGTTTGCTGCAAGATACAGGAGGCTTTTCTCAAAGGGGAGTCAAGTGTTCCTAAAATCTTGTGATGTTGCTGTAGTAACTAAATTGGTATCTCTAAATTGGTATTGGTAAAGAGTGTGGAGGTTGTTTGTAGTTAGGGGCTCTGCACAACCTTATGCTGTTGCCTTTTTCATGGGAGGAGAAAACAAAGACGTGGCTATGAGGTTTAGCTTATCCCTAATCCTAGCAACCTCACTGCAAATTTTACCTGGGCTGATTCATATCCCCTTCTGGACCTCTCTGAAGAGGATGGAGAGACTCTAAGAGACTCAGGCTGTTCATGTTCTCTGCTCTACCTTCCATACAGTTCAGCGTGTCAGTTGGTTCAGAATACATCAGATTGAACACGAAGTCTTTCTCTGAAATATGAAGGTAGCAGAAATTTTATTGCAGTTCCCACTTGCTGCTCTGGATGTTTGGTGGTGAATTCAGGGATTCCCTCACCTCATTTTCAAAGGGCTTAAGGACATCAGCAAGACACCTTTTGCTGGCATTCACCCTTCCCACACAGCCTAGACCCGCACTGGGAGATCACGTTTTTCCACCTTGAACCAAACTTGAGTGCCCTGAGGTCTGAGTGACTAATTTCAGTGTACCTTACTGCTCAGCACAGTGACAGCTGGGCCAAGCACACTTGGCTGGATCTTACTCCTTCCATGTCAGCACCCCCACTCAGTTCAGGTCTATGAGAGTCTCGGGGTCGCTTTTCAGGAAGGGAGTCGGATGTATGTGCTTGTTACCTTTCTTACTTGCCCTTGAGAACCAGGTCTGAATCTTGGCAAGTGAATCTGTGTGAAAGATCTTTGTGAGTTTTTCCAGCACCTGGAAGATGCACAGGAGAGTTCCCATGAATGAAGAGAAGCTGATTCAAGGCAGGTTTTGCCTGTGTTTCTGTTTAGCTCTAGCTGTGTGAGTGTGCACGTTTACAGCTGTGCAAACTGTATAGCCTAAGGCCTCCCGTCAGTTTTGCCACAGCATGAGCTAAGGATGCCAGTCTGAAAAAGGTGATGTTCAATGAGTGCTGTGTACGCAGCACTTGAGAGACACAGGAAGGGAATCCTGAGCAGTGTTTGCCACATAGGAAATCCTTTGTGTGTGACATGTAATATTTGCAGGCTGGTTTCTAGAGAACAAGTTTCAGTCCATGGATCAGCTGCATTGCTCCCGCAATGACTGTCAATAGCAACTTCCAGTTCAGGGAAGGCAAATCCACAGTAAATGCTAAATACAAAAGTCAGTATGCTCCACACTGGAGTGGTGCGGGGAGGGAAATCTGACCAACGAAGTCCCATGCCATCCCCCAGAGGAGTAAAAATGCGTAACATCATAGGAAGCTTTATACTGTAGCACTCATGCCTTACCTTTATTTCCTTCTCCAAGGATCTCGTGTCAGAAGACAATGGGCAGCTGAACCACTGCTCTTCTTTTCTCTGTGTGTAGGAATCATCGATCTATTAAAGGCCCAGGAATCAAAATGTGGTTGGCATAAGGTTCTCTTTATAAGTGCAGAGGGAAAGCAAAAGGCAGCTAACCACTCTTAAGAAACAGTAGTTTAGAGTGTGGCTGTATGGCACTACCTGTCCATGAGTTGTTCTGCAGCCAAACCACAGTAAATACAGTTGGAAGAACTGGGTTCTGAATGTATAAGTGAATAGGAAAGATAAAGCATGGCTTTACTATATATGCC